ACTTTGAAATGAGAGCTGTAGGGGTCGAGACGTGCACACAGATGCACTTACATTAATAAAACAGATACACATAGCTGTCTGCTTCAACTGCAAAAGAAATTGAACAAGACCTGAAATCGAGGGGTTATGACGTCATTGGCAGGCGACACAATGACACTATGGACACGCTCCGTGTCACTAGTTAAAATTGCTTATTTCTCTGGATTTAAACATTCTTCGAAACATTTGGGATAATGTAAGTACACAAGTCAGCAAAATATATAACACTGTTCTAGTGGTTTTTAGATATTTCAATAAAAAAATCTTTCATATTGTGCCTTTAATTAAACCATCAGTCTATGGAATGATTTTACGTTTTGGCATATTTGCTGCAAAGTTGTATAAATTTGTACAATTTGAGTCATATGAAAAGGTATGATGTTTAAAATAAGCATGAAGTTCCACCCCGAAACTTAACTGTCAGTGGGACATAAGCAGCGAATGAGAATGTATGAATTCATGGAAATTTGCCATTAATTTGTAAATGTAAAATGGATTTGGGGGAAAAACAAAATTGCTGTGAAAGTGTGTTGGGTATTACCCTCAATTAAACGAATACTACTTTTTGAAAAAGATGCACAATTACTTGATGAAGACTACAGTCATATCAGTAGCCAACTGAAAATCATTGCGAGAAAGTGATACTGCATGCACACTTCTAGTAGACGACGGACATTATATAAGTAGTTAAATTACAGTCAAGTTATTATTACATTGCAGCTTCTTCAAGTCAGCAGTCAATAAGTGCTGTCACATCTACCAATGTTCAGCAAATTTTCACAGTAAAAATCAAGTCATTTCAGTATTTTCAAAAAAGAAAAAAAAAGGGAGTTTTTGAATTAATAGACTCATACAGGAACACTGGATTTGAACAGATAATTGATTTTTGCATTTAGAGTAAAAAAAGATTTAATCTAAATGTGAAAAAAAAACACTCTCATTAGAATTCAGAAACATAATGAACAGCAGAATTTAACAAAATATGCTGTCACTGCTTATTCTCTGAAAATTTTAGCATGGTGATGGATATGACAATGTTAATGTATTTGGTCTTTGTGGAATAGATCTGCTTTGTTTGCTGAATTGCTGCTGCTGTTGGTTATTGCTGCTGCAAAACCAGCACTGGAACTTGCTACTGCCAATACATACGCCGATACGATGCTGTGAGTTTTTAAGACATACTGCTGCTGCACAAATAGCATATAAAATAACCCGTAGCAGATCTATACAGGTGGAGCTGGGGAGGGTGGAGGGTTTCAGAGGAGCTCTAAAGCACGCTGCGAAATGATCTAGTGAATGCTAACAAGCTTTTTAAATGTAAAGCACCAAGCTAATTGGCTGCGTATGCAACACGAACCAATCAGCTTGTGCCAAGTAGATTAATGCTGTGAATATCATCACTTTGTGTTAACGACCCATCAGCCTGCGCCATCTAGAGTTTCATGACAGAACTTGGCATTTATTTAATCCTTTTTGTTACATCAGAAGCATTGTGTGCAATACAACATTACATTAAAGATTTGATGTAGCAATACACTTATACTATTTGAAAAAAGTAGCTTGTTCTATCAAAAGCATGAGTTTGTTGTTATCTTTTTCTGAATGAAACTGACCTAAATGGCACAAGCTCCTTCCACTAGTGTGGTTATGTCTAAACGGAGCTGCAGTATTAGGTCAGTGTGTGGTCACTGCTTGCTTTGATGCTGTTTGACAGCTCGGTTTCTCCTCTCTGACGTCCTGCGCCGAAACACTATAAACTGTGTACGTCAAATCTGCATTACATGCATGCTGCTCTGCACTATACTCTCTCTCGCTCACCTGTTCATCATTCACAAAGGGAAGTGTATTGGTTTTCGTCTGCGTGGACAGAAGGATGTGGAGGAGGTCACAGTGATAATCGCTCATTTGTTTCTCCTTCCATCAGTATGAACGAGATCTAACTAGCTCATAACATTAGGCTTTATGTGGCTTCCTGCCGCAGAGAGCTGATCCTTGAATTTGAATTGCAAATGGTTGTGATTTTCTTCACTGGGTGTGTGGAAAGTGTGTTTGTGAATTGGTGCTCTTCCCCTGCTCATCAGCGAGGGTTCAGATTTGCTTAACTTAAGATTTGGTTTATTAATTTAGTTTTTTGGAAAAACAAACTTGAGGAGCTACACAGAGGCAGCTAGTCTTTGTAAATACAACCAGCGCAGTTGTCTAGTGAACAGCTGTGTAGCAGAAATGTAGAAGGGTGTGTGAGAGTGTATCAAAGCATTTTAACCCCACTCTATGTATAAATAGCCTAACCCACTGACCCACAGACACCACTACAGTTGACTGTTTATTTATAGTGGCGTGGTGTTGATTTGACTCAACTTCATTTCTGGAGTATGTGAGGCATTAAAGCTTATCTTAACGGTAACAATTCCCTTTTAGGAAGATTCTTGCAGCATTTAATATGTTATTAGTATTTGATAATATTTAGTCTTAAATTTAACACATCGTTATACCTTATAGGGAATACGAAGGATTTGTTTTAAACATAGCCTATCTGAGGAGTTGTATACAGTCTGAGCTTTAGCTCTTCAGCCCTGCCTACAGTAGTTGGGTCACTGGCATGAAATGACAACCAGAGACAGCAGTGTCCTGCAGTGTGACATGCTATACTTCCTATATATACTTCAACGTATATTCCTCTATATTTAAAAGTGTCCAATAACGACGTCACTTTAAAAAAAAAAAAAAAAAAAAAAAAAAGGCTATGTCAAGCTTAAAATGCTAGATGTTTCTCATTTGAGAATTAATATCTGTTACATAAATACGTTGAGTAATTTATGCACATGAAACAACACATTAAATAAGTGTTTATCTTGTAAATAATGTTGTTAAAGTGGTCATATGATGCTATTTAAAATTTTCCTTTCTCTTTGGAGTGTTACAAGCTGTTGGTGCATAGATAAGATCCCTAAAGTTGCAAAGACTAAAGTCTCAAATCCAAAGAGATATTCTTTGTAAAAGTTAAGACTTGTCCACGCCCTCCTAAAACGCCTCGTTTAAACACGCCCCCACATGTCGTACACCTCGGTTTTCAGACCGATGAGGTGTGTAAAAATTAACGTGTTTCAGAAAGGCGGGGCATAGAGGAGCAACAATAATGTACATTATGTGGAAAATAATGTGTTTTTTTAACCTTAAACCGCATAAACACATTTCATTACACCAAATACACAAAATAATGTTCTTTTTAGCAACATCATATGACCCCTTTAACTTTTAAACACATGGTGAAATAGATTGCAATTGTTGTGTGCTGTTCTTTAAAGATCTGATATTAAACACCCAAAATAGAAAAATCAATTAATATAAAAAAAAAGTCAAGCTGATTGTCATCCGTCTCTATCTAAAATGTTTTAAATAACATTTTACTAATTAAAGTTGTATTGTCATGTTAATTGAGAGACTACAGTAAATATAATAAAATGCATTCTTTTTAATTAATTTGTCACAATCTTAAATATAATCTTTCTCCATATAGCAGTATACATAGAATTTAATTTAATGTCCTGATTATGAAAAGAGTTAATGACATATTAGGCTATGTGTTTCTCTGCTTTAAATCAGAAACCAACCCCATGTCAACATCTTCTTCTTGTGATCTCATAGATTTGTGAGGAATCTTTAACGTTATGACTTAATCAATCAGTTGCTTTCAGTTTAATTGAAATTTTATTCCATCAAAGCTTTTACCTTGTTAAAAGAACTACTGTGCTTGCATTATGTGCATTAAGCATTTATTGCATCTTGGGGTTATAATATTGAAACATTTTGAACAGCTCAGGTTCTGTCATGAGCAGTAGAGCCGTGTTGCCTTAAACAACCTTTTTTCCAGTTTTTTTGTGGTCATATTAACTTGCTTATGAACAGTGGCCACATTAATCATAGTTTTAAATACAGTTTTAAAGCAACGGCACTGCATTGTCACATCAGGTACAACAGCTGCATAATGCATTCTTAACCTGCAGATCTGATGGCTAAAGTGGGTGTTGTATCATAGGTTGAGTTCCCTGAAAAAGCACACCATATGTAGGTTGATTTCTCTGAAAATTGTGAACTATTATAATTTGATTTGATGACATTAGTGGTGCACTTACACACTTGACCTTTACATTTTCTTTTGAATCACATTGTAGAATATTATAGCAGCAAACTTGACAAAGTTATGATCTCATCCCACATGCGTGACTGGCTTTTTTCTCTAAACATTCCATGATACTTTTTAATAACACTCTGAATATTTCCATAGACATGTGATGCGTGTTTTGAAAGGAACATAATGTCTGTGGACAGACTCAACCCTTAAAACCTCCCAGACGTTAGCAAAATCTCAAATAACACTGCTTTAAGCCTCGGATCCTCCTGTTTTTCTCTAGAACTAAAACAGCTGACTGCATGATTTGCCAAAATTCCTTTATATTTTATAAATATAGGTGATGTGTGTAATGTTCAGATATTTAAATCTCAGGTGGTGGACTTCTGTGTGTATATATGGTAATTCCATTTGAAAAGTAAAAGCATGTGGGGACGTATGGAAACACTAGACCCAGTCTCTCCTCCAGGACTCTAATGTTCCTGAATTACATCCCTGTGTGTCGTCTGCCCTGTTATCAGGTCTGAGACCTGCCGCCTGCCGTACATTCCAGCGCACGTGTGCACACAGACACACTATCATTAACCCCTCGAACCCCACCTGGAGGAAACCTCAGTGCTGCTTCCCTACATCCACCCTCTCAGTTAGTGCCTCTTCATGTCTCGTCTCAGAGGGAGTTGCAGAAGTGTGGTCATCTCCTCGGAGCGCCTGCTTTAGCTCTGCGCTAATGAGAGGGGACAGTGGGAGAGGACGTCAAGCCCCACTTCGAGAGCAAAGACTTCACAGTCTCAAGTTTCCTTGAACAATAATGAATCAAAGTGTCGTTTTCCTCATCAGTGAGGTGCAGGAAAAGAGTGTTTGTGTTTTCTCTCTGCATTAGGTGTCTAGACCAGTTGTCTGAGGAACAAGATGTCATGTACCTAGTGGAAATTTTGTAAAATTGTCAGACACTGTTAAACTTTCCATAATGTAAAGAGATACTTTAATATTGTTATTTTATTTTTTTTGTAGTTACATGATTCGCTGGTAAAGGGCGTCAGGGGAGAATGAAATCAATGTCAGTAGCCTTGAAGAAAAGATTAGATGTTTTTAGTTCCCCAGATGCCAAAGAAGCAGCTTTCCACACAGCCTGTGCAAAGGTGCTGCGTTTCTAGTTGTTTTGGTTTAGATGGAAATAGAAGCTGAAAGTATGTGCTGCTCCCGGGCAGCCGCTCTGTCCCACTGTGAGCTGGTTTTGGAGTCTCTAACTCTTGACTTCAGCTGCTACCTAAAGCCAGTATGACTCAGTCGCATGGATCACACTGCTTTTATCTGGCATTTTCCATAATACGGGTAGAGATTGTTTTTGTTTTTTAAAGCAGTAAATGCATGAATTCTTTGGAGTGCCACCTTAGATATTTTACATAAAATGTTTAATATTGAAATCACATCTAATTGTCTGGACATAAAATTGGTTGAATTGACGTTAAATTCATTGTAGAATTTTTTTTTCATTGTTACATGATTCAACTCTTTTGCCCAAGTTACTGTAAAAAAAAACAAAAACAAAAAAAATATTTTTCTTTAATTTATAGAAAATGTAGGTATTATAAATTCACCAATAATAAACCAACTTTTATTTTCAAACTAACTTGTCTCTACTAAGTACATTTTGAATACGAAAACGGTTACTTTCAACCCTGTTAATAATTGTAGAGTATGTTATTTCTGTTTAATATTTGCTATAAATGAACAAAATTGTTCAAATGCCTTAGATTTGGTAACAGGGTTGCAAAAATGGCAAACATCATATAAAATAAAGAGACATTTTCTAAAATGTAATTACCTATCTCACGAACCAATTGTTGAAAATGAATTTCTATTTTGTACCCTTGTCGTGGATAGTGGCATTTATGTGGCACTAATGCCTAACACAATAGAGGATCACTGGGCTAAACTGTGGTCAGTCTATCCAAATGTCTCATTTTCAAGGGCCGGTTTGTGTGTCTGCCTCCTATCCAGCCCTCTAGAAAGGGTGTGATAGTTTTGATTCTATTCATAACATGTACAAACCAGGATCTTTGTTTTGGTTTGGAAGAATGGCCTTTGGCTGACTCATGAGCTATTTCAAATGTAGATGCTGAAGTGGTGTTGACCTTAGCAGACTTTTTCTACTGAATTCTGTTCCGCCTTGACCTTTCAGCACCATACAAACTGACTGCTCTGATTGTACTGGTTTCATGAAGATAAGAAAAGAGCAAGTGGGTACAGGAAGTGATGGAATGATGTCAGAGCACCCACAGGAAAGCACGTAATGGAGGAGTGCAATGTGCTCTTATCTACCCATTCAGTGTGTTACCACAAAACTTGTTTTATTTGATTACATTGTTATTGTTCAAAAGGTTGGGTGATAAAATATTTTAATGGTTTTGAAAGAAGTCTCTTATGCTCACTAAAGCTGCATTCATTTGATCAAAAAACTGTATCCTGTAAAAAAAGGAATATTGTAAGATACTGTGAAATATTAGTACAATAAAAACAGTATTCTATTTGAATATATTTTAAAATGTTATTTTTTCCCGTGAAAAAGCTGCATTTTTAGCAGCTTTTACTCCAGTCTTCATTGTCACATTATCATTCAGAAATCATTCTAATATGCTTTTTTATTTCTTATTATCAATGTTGAAAACAGTTCTGCTGCTTAATGTTTAGTGATTTCAGAATTCTTTGATTAAAAAGTTTAAAAGAACAGCATTTTTTATTTTATATCATATTTTATAAATTTCTTTACTGCTAAACAATTTTAATGCATCTTTGCCAAATAAAAGTATTAATTTCTTTTTAAAAAGTCTTACTGACCCCACATTTTTGAGTGGTATGTTATATTATAATACACTTTTTTTTATCCTCTTAAATTTATAGATTTACATTGTAGGCTCATTGATAATTAATTACTTCTGGATGCTTTGTTACTGCAACTCACAGCCCTCTACATCCCTCAACAGTACTAAATGGGTTTAGTGTAGCATGGCAAGTGATCTACATTTGAAAACAGTTCTGACCAGCTCTAGGCCATGTTTGCATGAGCTCAAATTAGGCTAATCTTTGCCGTTGATGAACTGCAGGTCATTGTGATGTGTACACTGGCACTTCTGCCAGCCTGGCCCATGTTCAAAGCTTGTGGGTTTGCTTGAAAAGAGAATGGGCGACAGTATTGATTCATAGTGTGGTGCATTATGTCTCTGAGGATGAACACAAACCCCCCTGCTGTGTGTAAATGGGGCCTCAGCTGGACTGTCCTGTACCAGAATCATCATCTTTGATTCCATTCACTGTCTACTGCAGAAACTCCTCTTTCTCCTTACTCATTAAATTTAATGGTTGCATCAGCAAGACTGCCTCTGATCTGTCTCTGTACGGTCACTGAATAAGGGCCCCTCATTTCCCTAAGTGCCCCGAGGCAGACAGTGTTGCCCCCTTTTATCCCAGCTAGAGTTTATGCCTTGGCTATATATTTAACCTCTGAGATACGGCTGTGATATTAGAGAGGCTTGGCTGATATGGCTTTAGTACACTCTTAAAAAATAATGGTTCTTTTTTGGCATCTGTGAAGAACCTTTACATGAATGGAACCTTTCAAATGCACATAAGGTTCTTTAGTGGAAAAAGATTCTTTAGATTATTTAAATGTTCTCCATGTTAAAAAAAATTGTTGTTTTGAGAACTTTAAACTGAACGGTTCTTTGCGAAACCTAGAATGGTTCTTCGATTGCATTGATACAAAAACACCTTTTGGAACCTTTTTTTTTTTTTTTTTTTTTTTTTTTTTTTTTT